TTTGTACGGTACCCTAATTCTTTTTCGAAAAATAAAAATAGCTTAAGGTACTCCATATAACATCAGCTATCTGCCAGGGAAAGTCCCGTCAAAGTAGGTCCAGGCGTTTCAGAGATTATCCAAAACAAACAGACGGACAGACAGACCGATAGACAGACAAAAAATTTAAGAATTGTTTTTTTCTGTTATATGTATCGTTTACAATTTCATGTCCAAAAAGCTGTTATTTTTAAATAACAAACAGACAGATTCTCCGGTTCTCTACACTCTTCATTTTTAGCACACACAGAATTTTTCTACTGTTTCACGCTGGTATTCTGTGAGAGCTAGCCGACCTATTCGACATAATATAAATGTGTAAATTCATTTCCATTATTTCACTGAATTGTTTTATATCAAATATCACGTACTTGAAATATCAATACATATCAGTAGTCAATTGTTTAAACCACTCCAATAAAATAATATCTATGTTCTTTAAATCTCTATCATAAGTATTATTCTTATAAAATTAAATAACTTCTTTAACTAATGGAAAATTTATACCATGTTTCTTTTGTATGCATGTTAAATGCAAAAGTAATAAGAAAAGGACTGAAGTTGGTTTACTAATCAAAGAATGCATACTTAAATGACAAATAAACTTTAACACTCTCCCTATTCCATGAATCACATTGGGTGTGTTTGGCAGAAAAAAGCGCTAGCAAGCGCTTACAAGCGCTGAAATAGTTTTCGGCCAGGGCACGATTGCTACTTCAGTAGCGCTGACACAATCCGCCATTTTGTTTATTTAATTTGTTTGTTTTGAAGTAGAGTTTATAAGTTGTTTTGTGCAATATTAGTTTTAAGTAATATATTGACATGAATAAACATATACATGTTATTAAAAATTCATGATTGGTAAGTTTTTAATATGAATACTTTACAAACATATATTTAAATTAGGTTAGGTTCTCCGGTAAAAACTAACATCGTGTCCTGGAGGAAAATAGCTACTTACGATTTGACAGCGCTTACCGCTTACGATCGTCATTTTACTTACAAGCGCTTGCTAGCGCTTTTTTCTGCCAAACGCACCCATTCAATTGTTTACCTATCGTCTGTTTCGCGGACAGGGAAACTGTAAAATAAAGTAAAAGAATTAAAAATAAAATAACTGTTACGAGCTTGAGGTTCGTGACAATAAAAATTGCCGATAAAATTACCTAAATTAACACTTTAATTTTCTTTACACAAATTAAAACTTAAAACACTAACAATTAATCACACTGATTCACTTTATTCCGCTCCGAAGCTTCGCTTGTCTCGCCAACTTCAATACTGCCCCGATCGCACCTTGCAGTGCCTATAAATACACCTTAGCACCGAAACATCCAGAACATTCAAGTAAATACGCGCACCGATCGACAAAGCGTCGAAAATTCGAGAGTCAGCTTCCAGAAGCTTAGTTCTTCTGTTCGATACTAGATGGCGCTAGTGCCGTCGAATTTGGCGTGTAACACTGCCCCCTCCTAAGACATGCTCGTACCGAGCATTATCGGCCCCATAATATCGCGCCAGGCGATCCACATGGACGATCTTAGGAGTCCCTCTTGCGCCTTTCTGTAACGGCTCCGCAATGTCAAGGGCCGTCCTATCCCATGGTGCACCAACATTGTACAATTTCAGTGCTCCTCTACTACGTGTCTGACGTCCCCGCACGGCCACACAACTTGTACATGTACGACACCAAGCCTCGACATCGTCACGATAATGGACCCAGTAAAACTGTTCTCGGACCTTCAGCAGAGTTCGTTTAACTCCCAGATGGACTCTTGAACGACCATTATGGCACAGCTGTAGAACATTCGGCACTTTAGCCTTAGGGAAAACCATTTGCAAACGACAGCTGTCTCCTCGACAATTATCCCATTTACGGCACAGGACTCCACCCTGAATCAGCAAGCTGTCCCATTGGGCCCAATAGCTTTTCGTGGTTGAACTCATCGCTGAGACGTCGCTCCACTTAGGCTTGGTAGCACGGGCCTTCATCCATTCCAGAATCGGCTTGATGTCCGGATCTTCCTGCTGTGCATGTCGTAGGCTGTCCTTCCACCCGTTGCTGAGGTGGTCTGTCCTGAGCGTCCTCACGGATACCACTTCCTTACTCTCTTGTCTAGTACAATGTTTCCGATCTTCAGGACAAGGTCTTCTTGACCATGCATCTGCGTTGCCATGAGATTTCCCGCTGCGATGTCTGATAGTAAAGTCGTATCCCGGCTGCTGCTGGGCGGTGATGTTAGCCACACTTCCCTTCTGAGATCGTTCACCTTCCCTTTCTAGGTTTTGCTTAGGGCAGCTAGATCGAAGATGGCCCCTTTCCCCACAGCCATAGCACCTAGGGCTGTACCCTTTATTGTGGTCGCGAACCGTAGCTGCTGCAACCTCCCTAGCGCAAGAGGAACGATGATCCTGCCGCACGGCTTCCACCTCCAGTGCATGGGCCAAGGCGTCCTTGAGCGTGTCGTGGTGCCCAAATCTCACAGCAGCTCTGACTTCAAGGTCGCGGATGCCGTCGATGAATGTCTGAACCGGGTTCCCTTCCATGAGCGTAGGTACAAACTGGTATGCTTTTCGAACCATCTTCTCCACCTCAAGGGCCCACTGCTGCAGGTTTTCGTTGCTGCGCTGCACGCGATCTTTAAGCTGCGCGCGAAAGACGTGTTTCAGGTGAGCGTCGCCATATCTCGCCTCCAAGGCCTCAAGAAGCTGCTCGTAGGTCACTTTCTTACCGAGAGCTTCCAACACAGTTAAGGCTTGGTCGCGCAGGTCTAGGGTGAGTGCAGTCATGGCTTGGCTTTTATTCCAGCCGTTCGCCTCCATGACGGCCTCGAACTGGATTTTGTAGGCCGACCAGGAAGAGGTCCCGTCGAACGGCGGCACTTTGAATCCACGTAGCGAAGGTGTTGTAGCTACTACGGGAGCTGTTGTTCCATCCCCAAGTTTGAGGTCGTCCAGCGTTTTCTTCACGTCAGCCATTACGTTGTCAACCCGATTGTTTACTTGGTCGATTCGGGTTTCGGCCTCCGACAGGCGGTTGTCATGTTGAGCAACCTTATCCTTCACCTCCCGTATCTCTTTTCCGAAGATAGCGTGAAGGTCCTTCATGAGGGGCATCTGCTCTTCCTTATCGCGTTGGAGTTGCTCTTCTAAACGACGGGCCTGTTCCTCTTGTATGCGGGCCTGTTCCTCCTGTCCGCCCCGCAGCTGCTCTTCTAATCGGCGGGCCTGTTCCTCCTGTCCGCCCCGCAGCTGCTCTTCCAAACGACGGACCTGTTCCTCCTGTCGGCGAGCCTGCTCCTGCAGCATCACCATCAGAGCACCTAAGTCAGGTGCTGCAGATGTAGGAGCTACTGACGGGCCTGCAGCCGGCGGCTGGCCCTCCGACGTCTGCGGCGTTGCACCACCAAATCTTCTTTGGTCCGTCTCCTGCTGGCGTTGACTTCGGGTACGGACACCCTCCGTTTCCTCCTTAGGTAAAATCGGCATGATTTTATCCCACTTCTGACACCAATTGTTACGAGCTTGAGATTCGTGACAATAAAAATTGCCGATAAAATTACCTAAATTAACACTTTAATTTTCTTTACACAAATTAAAACTTAAAACACTAACAATTAATCACACTGATTCACTTTATTCCGCTCCGAAGCTTCGCTTGTCTCGCCAACTTCAATACTTCCCCGATAGCACCTTGCAGCGCCTATAAATACACCTTAGCACCGAAACATCCAGAACATTCAAGTAAATACGCGCACCGATCGACAAAACGTCGAAAATTCGTTCCAGAAGCTTAGTTCTTCTGTTCGATACTAGATGGCGCTAGTGCCGTCGACTTCGGCGCGTAACATAACGTTACCAATTAACCGATATACTTATTTATTTAATTTTTGTATATGTAATAATAATAAATTTACATACAAAACAAAAATTACAGCATATAAACACCTTTATCTGTCAGTTTTTTTGTTTTAAAACTTTGTATTGGTCTAGAACTGTTATGATGTTATATGTTTTTGTAATAAATAAATTAATGTTATATGTTTTTGTAATAAATAAATTAAAAAAAAAAATATTGTGGCGGTGTAATGGATTTTAAGATAAAAATAAACTTATATATACAACTCCGGTATTGATATATTTATAATTATCGATATATCTAAAATTCAATATTTTAAAAAATATCAACAATTTTAGTTTGAACTAATCGGTTGGAATGATTAGTTGAACTGACCGTGCGTGGCGACCATAATTTTTATTCTTTGACCTTTTTCTTATGTCAGATTACTAGGTAGATCGGGCGGGGTTGTCACGAAAAAGCATATTATGATCATTATACGATACACGATATTTTTATGGCACGTGTACTGTAGAACTCATATGTGATAATAAATTAGAGTAAATAGGTATTTGGATGTTTTTTTAAATATTTAATAATTTAAAGTTAACAGCTTAAAATACTAACACAAATATTTTTATGAAGAAAATAAGGTTAATAAGGTGTTAGAAGCACTAGTATAGATCGTAGGTCTAATTTTCTACACCGTTACCTATTTCCACCGCGAAGTAGCTGTGCAAGCACTGCTGTGGTCTGATTTGAAGGGTATAGAGAGTAAGTACACACACAGCCTGTAAGACGAACTACCATAGTCCTCAAAGGCATCTACTATAGCGATTTAAAGTTGGTTTTAGGGCATACAAATGGGTAGATTGTAAGTTCGTTTATCACTTCAATTTTTTAAACCGTAACATACATTTTATATACCTATTATAACGTAAACCTATTTAGTCATCATTATACGCTTCTTTGTTTTATCTGTTTAAACATTAAAATGTTTTGCTTTTTTGTTACAGTTTTAACAACTGCTGATTATAAATTCGGTGTCGCAATAATTCAACACAAACAGAAAATAAATCAAAACATTTAATATTTACCTAGTATTTTTAATAAAATAAAGGAAATGCCAGAAATAGGGCCAATGATGCGAGCGCTCGAATTACAGCGGCTGATCGAAGACAAAGTGTCGGAATGGCGAGAGAGGTCAGCGCGGGTCGCCGGCGTAAGCGTCGCCGACTCTTATCAGCCACCACTCCACTTCAAGAGACACACTAACAGGCGCAAAAACAGCACAGAAATAAACAGAATAATCGCAAAATACTCAAAAACATACAACAAGTCGAACGAGAAACACAACGTGCTGCAGCAGACCTCTGAGCAGCCACCAAAGCGACCTGCCAGACAAAAAAAGATTTTCGATAAATTAAAATCATCGAAAAGTGAAGATAATCTTGCTAACATGGAAACAATGGAGATACATCCCGAACCTAGAACTAGAATTAAATCAGAGCCACGATTCAGTTTAAAGAAATACAATGCCAAGAGTTGCGAGGATATTACTGCATTTATTGACTTCGACCACTCAGTGAAAAGTAAAAATTTTCAAGAAAATAGTATAATTAATGCTAAAAAAGTAACAACAGCTAGACCGAAATTGCATAGTATCTGTGAAGATATTTTAGATATTTCTGATTTTAAAGACGGTGGTGTAGAGTTAAGACATAAAACAAACTTTGCTACTTCAACTCCATTATCTAACAGAAGGACATGCCCGTCCAGTGATACGGTATCTATGATCAGTTTTGAAAAGTGTGATAAATATTCGATTAGTGAAAGTGAAAAATTAAGAAAAGGTATTTCAGAGCCAGACATGTTAAGAAGTGACGATTCCCATTTAGAATCAGTGGAACAAACTGGTGATTCAAAAAGTGTAGACGGTAAGAAAGGGTGGAAAATATTAAAACCACACTTTCGGAAGGGAACATTTGACTGTATACTTCGATGGCGTGGGAAAAAGCCGCAGCCTACGCAAACCAAGTAAGTGATTCATTTTTTGTGGCATGTTGATGTAGAGTTAAGTTCCTCTAATTATCTTAAAGCAATTATATAACATGCTTTAATTTCTTTTATGAGTAAATAAAACGTATATAAAATTGAGTCAAGAAAACGTAAGCTTGTAAGAATAGAATAATAAAGAATATTTTTTTATTCAATATACATTATTACATATAACTTATTGAAAGTATTTATTTATTTATTACTGGTTCGGAAAATGTCTCTGTTGTGAAAAGAATTGAAGAAGTTTATATTATGTTTTTACTTTATAGACATAAAATTTTACAAAAATGTTGAAGAATTTTTACATGAATTGTAATAGAACCAAAATGTTAGCGATCACCTTATTCCGAGGGTTAATTTTCATTCATGTATTTTTTAAACCTTATTATAACTTTTTACATATTTGTAAAATTTTAAAAAGTCTGCTTGACAATTTTTTGAATATTTTCTGCGATTTTGTCGAAAAAGAGTATAATTTAGCGTACAAGCGTAGCTCTTTAAACGAATTACTAAATCTTATTCGTATTTCTATTCCAAATATAATTAATAACTTCAACTAAATGGGGAAATTTTTAACTTTTATTTAGAGGTTATAATATGTCAAAGTTAAAACTTCTCCTTCCCGTATCGTGGTAGTTCAAGATATGCCATAAAATTCCATACATCCGGCACCACTAAAATTTTGTGCTGACTTACCACGTGCTCAGCGGTGAAAGATATAGGTATCGTCGGAGTAATGATAAAATATTACTTATGTACCTAAATAGCTTTATGGGCACAATAGTCATTGTATACATTTTAATTATGTAAGTATAAAATTACATTTTAGAAATCACTTAAGTTAATGTACTTATTAACAATACATTTTTATAAATTCAATTTCAATTGCTTAGTAGCTAACTAGCGCCTGGTAATTAATACTAGCAACAGTGTATCATCATGTACATTGCGGCTTTAATCTCTTATCCTATAATTTAAGTCAGCCATTCCGCTCTGTTTACTTGGATTCTCAATAATGATCCACAGGTAGATTCATGAATAATTTTTTCTCCTCTTCGGTCCACATTTAAAATCATGTGCTTATACTTAATATTTTTTCTTTTTCGGTACTTTATAGACATATTCAAAATAGATACTATCGTATTATTGATAGATTAATTGAACCGTAACCAGCTGTACCTAAAACTGGCATTGACTCGGTGAATTTAATGATTTAGAATCACATTGTATTCATTTCAATTTTTAAAATAAATTAATAGCAATTAAAATTTTATATACCTGTATAGGCGACCATAACATTAAGTAAAGAATATTTTATTATCCTGGTACTCTTGAAGTAACGTTAAAATCATATAAATAATTACAACACTTAAAATATCACAAAACGTATTAATTCAAATAGTTACATTATCAGCAAAATTGGTTTAATTCTTAGCCAACACTCCTGTTTATTAGAAAGAAATAAAGAGAGAAAGAAATGCGTTAATTCCAGTTTTTTTTATAGGATGGAGTAACAAACGAGCACACAGTCTACCTGATGGTAAGTGGTCGCTATGGCCCATAGACATCTACATCTATCCTCGATTAAGACAAAATCCTCCTTAATTAATATGCAGATGCGTTGTCGCCCGTGAGGACTAAGATGGAACGCCTAGTTTCCAGTAAAAAAGGGTCTCCGGTTCTCTACACTCAACATACGAAACACAGCAGAATTAAGCTACTATTTGACGCTGGTATTCTGTGATCCTTCCCCGGTCGAGCCGACCCAATCGTGCTACAACTATACTACTAATATAACTGCAGCATGGCTCTACCACGTATAAAAGTTTAGGCATGCAGCACAAAATAAAAACAATAATAATAGACAAAAAGATAAATAACACGAAGTATTTCCCAACAGCATAAATGTAAGAAAATACACTTAAAAAACCCTGTGCTGCTGCATGAACCGTGAAAATGACCGGTCATATGTTGGCATTGATTTTCAGTCTGCCCATAGATAATACACTATATAGGTCTGCCCCATACTCCGAGCCGAGGTAGCTCGGGCGACTGAGTGCACGCTCGCTCTTGATGTCCGAAAATTTAAAAAAATAATGTAAAACAGTAAAAACTGAAGTCTTCCAGTGCCACACGGGTTTAGACTAACAGTAATGTTTTTAGTTTAACGAACGTTATTTATGCAGTTACTAAAGAAAAATTGTAAATGTTATTTGTAGTTACTTTTATTGTATGTATAACGTTAAAGGTTTTTCTTTTGAGTTATTTGATTTTATTAAGAGGAAAGACTAATATACAATCAAAATCAGGGATACCGAATATTTTTTCTTTTGTATGACTTGTACTTTCTATTAATTTTTCCTACGGTAATATTAAGTCTAGTTTCATCCAATTTTATTTGTATGTATAAGCAGTTGTCTGCTTGGGAGTCTATAATTAACAAAATTAAACCCAAACCCAAGCGTACTACTACAAAACTTCAAGATACTGTAAGCTCTTTCTGCGTGGATCGGACCGAAAATTAATATTACAAAATTTAAGGTAGCCGGGCTAACTATGATATTGGGACGTCAAATATCCCCCCCCCCCCGTTACCGTGGGTGCTGCAAAGTACACGAAACATCGGTAATTAAAAATAAGTTGAAATAAGTAAATTAAACGCGATAGGATCCGTATATTATACAGTTTTATTAAATTCGTTAAATATATTAGTCAAACCTTTGTTTTACGTTAAATTAAAAAAAAACAAAGGTGTAATTGATGTTACTTCTGAAAAGACAATATTCGTAGGATGCTTCTCATGTTGAGCGCCGACAGAAAGATGTAGGGGTTGCACTTGCACCCCTGTCAGGAAAGAAAATACATAGATTTCTTAAAAAAATTAAGTTATTGTTTGAATAAGACGTCTAGGCTGCTGCCCAAAGTTCATCACCTTGTTAATAAATTCAGTACTCTCCTCTACTCTTATTTTAGAACAAAAAAGTTAAAGCCCTAAATATATACACGGGCGAAGTCGCGGGGAACAGCTAGATTAAAGTGCCAACAGACTCGTTGTCTAGAAAACACATTTAGCATATTTACTAGTAAATTCATTTTTCATTAAGTATACAGCAGGACCTCTATAATCCGAACCCCTTCTAATCCGAACACCTCTGTAATCCGAACGCCTCATCCACACCCGCTTCTTGCGCTTCTCCGCTTAGCGCAGTGTCCTCATTAAATATATGCCTTTAATGGGCTGATTAAGTGAATATTCCTGTGCCAGAAAAAATGCTTTTACATTAATTGCGAGACAAAGTTTTTTATTTATCATTAAATACCTCGCGACAAACTAAAATATTGGATTTGTTTTAAAAAAGTTTAATAAATATTACGTTTATAGACGAATATACATTTAAAATTTCAAAATACTATATTTGTTTTATCTCATAAAAAATACCCTATAGATTCTCTGTACTAAAATCCGAATGCTCCACCGTAGTAAAAACAGAATAGTAGGCTCTCTTCTAAGAAATGTAGCGATCGTCGCTAATATGTTTACGTGCCCGGCACGTGACAGTACGGACTCGTACGCACAAGCCACAGCAAGCTCACAATGACACTTGCTAAGTCGGAAAGATCGGGCCGAGTCGGTGAAGGCCATTGCCGCGCTCCGCAATCACCTTTGTTTGTGACTTTGTTGACTTTTAATAAAAATTTGCTAGCAGTCTTTTTTTGTTTTATTTTCTCTTTTGTAAAATAAATTAATATATGCGTTTGTTAAAGTAAATTAGCTTTTCATTAATAGGTTATATTACTATATTTGACTGACTTCATGATGACCATGCTGACCATTATGATGATCACCATGCTCACTTCATATGCTCGGTGTTAATTTACTCGAATTTTAGTTATTTGGCATTTGTTGTAATGTAAAGCCAGATTTTTTTTTAACAAACGTTGATTCTTTGAGAGGAAACTAAAGAAATTATTAACAAATAAGATGCATAGGTACGTATCCGTATGTATTACGTTTGTAAATATTATAACAACTCATAAAACTAAATGAGACTTAGCTGTTAAACAAAAAGACAGTGACAACCCCGCAACAGTAAGCATTTAAGTCTTGCACGACGCGGAAGTTATCCTACTATTCTGTTTTTACTATGGCTCCACAAATCCGAACGAGTGAGATATTATACAAAAAAAAAAACGTAGATACGTCGTCTTATCAACATTTTTGGTTAACTATGTAGCAGTAATTTACATTTATTTCCAAAACTGTTAATTGTTGCAAGGCTACGTAAGGGAGGCGTCAAGTTGTTCCAATACTTTGTTGAATTGTAAAACTGTCTCTGATTGCAGTAAGGCATCTAAAAGAATATACTAATTTTTGATCAACTGATCTGAGATTATATTATTATTATTATGATCTTTAGCCAAATCAAGCTTATTGTAGAGATATACTGGCTCTTTGTTTTCTACTATACCAAACCAAAAGTGGCAAAGTATATTAGATTTTGAAACTTGGACAAAGAATCGAAGTTGCATAAAAAAGTATCAATCATTTCTTATATTTACGCGAACACTATACATGATTAAAACTACTTTTACGGATTTTATCGCGTTTATTTTTACTTTTTATTTACTTTTATTTTTAATTCCAGACGTTTCGGGCGCTTTCCAGCACCCATGGTCACGGGGGACTGAGATGACTGACGTCCCGATGTCATTGTTAAACCCGGAGTACCTTCAGCTTTTTTAATTATTGTTTATAGTCCGATCTATGCAAAATGAACTGACTATGTCCTGAGGTCTTGCAGTGCTATGCTTGGGTTTAGTTTTAATTTTATTGATTATAGGATCCCAAGCAGGTGGTAGTACCCAGCCTCCTTCTCTATTGAAATTAGGATGTTTTTTAATTTCAATAGCCTCACGTCACTCATCATCCTTGGTAGGAATCGGTGTTCTTTCGCGAGGATTTGTGGTCTATCAAATCTGATG